ATATTTCATGCTAAATATTCTAAGAGCCAAATCTAATTAAACACACTCAATAAACTCTCAAGTAATTAACATTGTAAAGTCCAATTNTTCTAAGAGCCAAATCTAATTAAACACACTCAATAAACTCTCAAGTAATTAACATTGTAAAGTCCAATTTAATGCATTAATATTCAGAGTGAGCCTCAGCCCCAGGCAAGGAAGGCTGGCTGCCAGGTCAGAGATGAGGAGGTCAAAGGTCAGTGACCCGAGGTGGTCCATCCAATGCTGCTCTAGTGTCTCCAGTGCCATCTCCATTCATAACTGGGCTTCCTGAGGTTGGGCCCCAGAGGATGACCCAGCTCCTCCTTCTAGGACCTGAGCTGATGGGGATCTGACAGGACACCCACTTGTCACCATGGCCCCACCATGGGCTCCCTCCAGCCATTGAAAGAGAAGCCACCTGATTCAGGCCCCTCCTCCCAGGGAGAGGGAGAGCTCACTCCTGACCAGCTCGGACCCTGTTACTCATGGGTGTGCTGTTGCTAGTGGCAAGTGTCTCTTATAACTACTCCCCAATAGGATGATGTGTGATTCCTGACATGAGATCCCAGGGCAGGGATTCTAAGGCCAGTGAACTTGGGGATTGTTGGGGGACAAGAGGTGGACAATGGTATGATGAACAGGGGCCCTGTCATCCTGTGCCACTCAGATTCCCTGCATCCCTCAGATTTCTTGTGTCACTTGATAGACTTCTGTGCCCAACAGAGACTTCAGTTGTACCTCCCAGACCTCAGTGAACCTGACTCACCTTAGCTGACCTAGGACCACCTCACAGGTGATACACAACCTTCTCCATGGCACTGAGGACTCTGAGGCCGCAGATGGATACAACCCTGAAGTGTGGGTAACACAGGAATACAGGGGATCATTGAGGCTCTCATTACATACAAAGGGTTCTGCAGCCTCATGGGGCAGGTGCAGCTCTATCCAGGAGTAGTTTCAGGGGAGCAAAGGGAGCCAGTGGGAGGATCAGAGCCTTGAGGCTGGGTCACTGTTACCAGATGTGGCCTCATCAACAAACCCCAAACCTCCTATAATTCTGTATTTAGTGGGTGAAAAGCTACCAGGACAAACAAATGCACAAGGAACCTCTCACCTTCACTGAGTTACTGACATATCTGTATGTTCACCCCTGAGCTCTCTATATAGTAGGAGTACATGTAAATAGGGCCCCCTCTGCTCATAAAAACCAGCCCAGCCCTGACCCTGCAGCTCTGGGACAGGAGCCCAGCCCCAGGATCCCAGCTGTTCTCATTCCCTGTTCAGGACTGAACACAGACCACTCACCATGGGGCTTGGGCTCAGCTGGGTTTTCCTTGTTGCTATTTTAAGAGGTAGTTTATGGAGAACAAGAGACACTGAGTGTGTGAGTGGACATGAGTGAGAGAAACAGTGGATGTGTGAGAGTTTCCTGACCAGGACGTCTTTGTGTTTGCAGGTGTCCAGGGTGAGGTGCAGCTGGTGGAGTCTGGGGGAGCCGTGGTGAAGCCTGGGGGGTCTCTGAGACTCTCCTGTGCAGCCTCTGGATTCACCTTCAGTAGCTACCACATGCACTGGGTCCGCCAGGCTCCAGGGAAGGGCCTGGAGTGGGTGGCAGTAATATTGTATGATGGAAGTAGCAAATATTACGCAGACTCTGTGAAGGGCCGATTCACCATCTCCAGAGACAACGCCAAGAACACGGTGTATCTGCAAATGAACAGCCTGAAATCTGAGGACTCGGCCGTGTATTACTGTGCAGCAGACACAGTGAGAGGAGGTCAGTGTGAGCCCAGACACAAACCTCCCTGCAGGAGGGACTGAGGCACCAGGGTGCTCAGGGGCCTTAACACAAGGACCCTCCCAGGAGCAGGTGCAGTGGGCGGTTTGGGCTGTTTCCTGGCTGGTTTCCTCTTCAGGTCACAGTTTCCCTCAGGGAACCTCTGTGGATTCCTGATTCTGTACTTTCCTCTGAGGTCTGTCATTTAGAAATGTCTGTTGTAAACAGAGACGACTTTCTCACATGGACAACAGCAGAATGTCTTTTGCATGCACTCTTTTCCCCAAGTGACAATTAATCATGAAATCTTCTGACCTCCATCACCTAAATCTAACAGGAGGCTCTGCTGACTCC